GTCGGCTCAACGAAGGTCGCACATGTTTAGCCGAGTGAATAATCCGATCCGGCCGCCGGCTTGCGCCCGCAACTGACCAATGTCTACTGCACGATCGGTGGTGTCGTTTACACTAGACGAGAATTGACCCGCGCGATCGGGACCGGATCCACGCTATCCCCTTTCCTCGTGACCCTCGCTTTTTCTGCCTCGCTTTACTGGCTTTTGTTCGACGTCGTTAGAAGTGGAGATAACGGCGCCGTTTCGTCGCCACTCATCCAGCTGTCGGCAAGGCCGAGTTGCAGGCTAGTTTGCTCGTGCCGCGTGCACGTTCCTTTACATGCGATTTAGTCATTGCGCGCTCGTACATTGAGATCTTTGCACTCGGAGGAGCGCACGAGGCGGCGAAGCGGAGGGCGAGGACGAGGGCGAAGACGAAAGCGAAGACGAAGGCGAGGACTCGAGCGGAGGAGGACACGAAGACAACGTGCAGACTGCCGGTCGGCGGCGGATTCATCGATCACGGACGGATGACGCCCGGATTAGAGGCTTGGCGATGGATGGATCAAGAGCAAAGCGCGCGATCAGAAATCGATTTCGCCTCCATTGCGTCCTCACGTCGCCCGGCCGATCGTCTGTCCGTTCGTCCCTCGGTCTCGTTCCTCTGTTGCTCTCTGTTTTAAATACGTTTCTTCCTCTTGTCCGTCCGGCAGTCGGTCTCGGCCGACTCAGTGAGTTGGCTTATGACGAGCTGCTTCGTTCGAATTCGGCACTCGGCGCCAAGTTCCTCTAGCGAGGCACCGACAAAGGTAGGTAAGGACGAGGACGGGGCGGAACGGAAGGTAGAAGAGGGAACTGCGCGAAAGCCGAGCGAGTGATAAAATCGTGCTACCAAGTGACGCAAGCACATTTGCGCTCGCCTCGCTGAAACCGAATGTTGCTTTGAGTGATTTAAGGTGCCACAAAGCTGCCGGAAATGCGTCGTTGCCGCGATGGATGTTTGCCTCGCTCTTTCTTTGCGCCCCCTGACTCGTCTCGTCGTCTCTCCTCGTCGCTTGCCCGCTCCGCTCACCTGAACATGTTGCACGAGGTCACGTGTTACATGATCGACGCGATGGCTAGCGATGTCTTTCGAATTCCACGAAGGGATCGGTTGCGGGACGGGGGGGGGGCAGATACGATAGCCACGAATTGCACGTATTATGTCGAACCGAGGCGCTTGCAGAGATCGATCGACGGACTGACTGACCGACCGACGGCATGCGTTTTTTGGTGCGAAAGACGGGTTGCTTGGCTGATTAGTGGATGTTTTGCCCTATAAGCGAATAATGGATGAACGCTGTCAGTCAGGATTTCGAGGCGCATAACTGCGGATTCCGTCAGTGCTCACCGCAGCAGCTGTCAGCCGTTGAAAAGCCAGGCCAGTATTTGTTTCAAATCAAGCCATTAATCTTAGTCTTTGCCAAAACTTCGTCCGTCCTCGTCGTCAGTCCTCCGTCCGACCGACGGAGCGACGAAGCGAGCGACCGCCTGCCCGCTCTCCGTCCGTTCGTCCTTCCGTCCTTGTTTCTTCGCGTGGTCGTTCGTCCCGATTTGCTTGCCTCCTCCTCCTCCTCCTCCTCGTTCCTTCCATCGAGCGGCCGGTTGGTTGTTCGCCTAGCGCGGCTCAGCTCGGCTCGCGTCGGTCCGTCGTCGACGACCGCCGCCTTTGCCAGTGAGTTCACGCGTGCACAACTTATCCAGTGATCGTCGACGGCGGCGTTTGTGAACAGACTTTCGTCCTTCGCCTCTCGCCTCTCGCCCCTCGCCCCTCGCCTTTCGTCTTTCCTCTTTCCTCCGTCTGTTCGATTGGTCAAAGCCGCCGCCGAAGCAGGGAACAGCGAATGAAATCGAGATGAAGGTCAGTCGATATCCGATGGTGGTTCGCTGTCGCGTGACCTACCGACCCTACAGCCAGCATGGTGTTGTGGCGCGGCCAACACCAGTTGTCCGCCCCTTCAACGGTCAAATGACTACCGCCGAGCGAGGCGATGGCGATGGCGATGGCGATGGCCGTGGCCATGGCATTGGCGCCCAGCGAGCATTGAAAACGCAGCGACACCGGCCGGACAATTCATCCATAGAATTAATGTTTGTCTTTCCCACTGAACCTTGTCTTATCCGCCGTAATTGTTCCGTTTCTCGCTTGAGTCAGCTTTTACGAGGCACGGATTTCAGTGTGCGTCGAAACCGGAATTTCTGCAGTGCGCGTGCGTGGCGCGATGC